GGCACCGATATGGATGTGAAGATGTTTAGAATCGAATTTTAAAGCGAAAGGAGAAAAAAACTCACCTCCTCGATGTCAGCAGCTACTCCGGTGCAATAGCGACAACAGTCAACTTTCCTTTTCGTCCGCCCTTCTTCTTATTCTCCGGCGAGGGTCGAATGTAACTAGGGTTAGGATTTTCTGGGAAGTGAATTTAAATATCGTCTCTGCATCGATCTAGGTCGTCCGTGCATTGACACGTGACCCATTCTCAGCTTTTGGATTGCTCTTATTTAGAGAATTAATCTGAATTGTACGATTGGATTAAATCTAGTTGTTCGATCGCACCTGAAGATGAAATGAATCTGGATCGTCCGTGCATGCGGGAGGAGATATGGGTCGTTGGATCCATTGGCATGCGGATTGCCCGCGTGACTTCCCTCGAGGGCGTGTGTCGATGTGTCTACCACGCGATGCACGACAACGGCCGCACTACTAACGTGGCGGTCTACGTGGCCGAATTCATGTTATTTTTACTTTTACCCTAATTTTTTATATTTCTTTTCAAGTAACTATTCTCTTATTTATACTTTAGCCTTAATTTTTGAAAATGTTTTCAAATATTCCCAAAATATAATTTTCTTAAAAATTAAAATTAATTTTTTTCTAATTTATTTTATTATTATAATTTAATTATTCCAATTCTAATTTCCGGACCTAGATATTACATTTTTTGACCTTATTCTAATTTTATGGCCGCCTTACTTATTCCATATGTCCTATCACGCCAAGTTGACACAATTACAATACTCACCATTATTTATGGAGGAATTAATTAAATAATCATTCTTTATTATATACTATAGTTATTATATAAAAAAATATTCGTTAAAATTAGAATGTATTCATATATATTTTTAATTAAAAATTATGTTATGTTGTGATATTAATAGTGTTTATTTATTATCTAATTAAAATATATGAAATTATATTTAAAAATAAATAAATAACCATATAAAAGAAAATGATAGTGGAAAAAGAAAGGAAATTTTAATTTTTTTGGATCATATTTAAAATAATTGCGATAAATTTATTTGATTTTAAATAGTTTTAATTATTATTCTATTTATTATATAATTTAAGTTATATTATACTATAAGCGATAAGTACACATTTGTATTATCGTATTTCTTTATGCAAACATAATGTTATTATTAAAAATGATAAAAATAAATGTAGAGAATACTAATAATGATAAATAAAATATTATAATTAAATTTTTATAAATAAAGTAAAAGTATAATTATTTTGATGTGATTATACTAATGAAGAATATAAATTGTATTTATTTTTGAAAATAATAAATATAATTAATGTTGTGAAAAGAGTAAATTGTAGAAAAATAAGTTTGGTTTCTTGGAGAAGAAGATAAGGATGTGGAAAATGGAAGAGTTTAATTTAATGTCGGAGGTGCCCCCCATTCCCACCTATTTTCCTTCTACGGATAAACTTCAAAATCTATCTACTTAAATATTTATTTATTTAAATTTAATTTAGTGATAAATAAATTAAATCGATATAGAAGCAAAAAAAAAAAAAATTATTAATTAAATATCTAAACAAATTATTATATAAATAATATTCATAAATAAAATATTATCTGCGACAGATTTATCATATTATTTAAAAAATAAACTAATATATGAATAATATATATTTTATTATAAAAAAAATTATAAAAATTTAGAAGAAAAATACTTTTTTTAAAAATATTAATTGTTTTTTGAATGAACAAAAAAATAAATATTTTGAATTCGAAAGACTTTATATATTTTTCGATAGTTGAAAGATGAAAAATATTGACTACTTTCTTATTAAATATAAATACAATAAAAAATTATCAAAAATTTTAAAAGTTTTTAGAAAAAATTTTTGGTTATAATATTAATAAATAGTGAGATATTTGATTATGTACTGGCTGATTTAGAATTTTATAATACATTATAATGTTTCTCTATGTATGTATTTAGAGACATTAAATGCTTACTAAATTTTGTATATAATTTATTTATATAAATTTTTTATACTATATTAGTTGATTGATAGCATTTAATAGCCAAAATAGTGATAATTAAAATAAAAATAAAATATTATTAATTATATATCAATTTAAATCATTGTATAAATGCAAAATCTCTTTAAAATCACCAAGTTTCTAGATCAATAATAACAAAAATGACGAGGCATTGATATATTATTAAATTCTAGAAACACTATATTTAAAAATTATAAAAAATAAAAATAAAACCCTAGCAGGGGGGTCATGACATAAATAGTCCTTTTAGAAAAAAAAAAAAAAGAAAGTAAAAAAATTAAGTAAATTAAAAAGCTGGTTGATGGGCTGATGGGGTCGTAGTTTACTGTTACTTATTGCTCTTTTTTAAGGCGCTTTCCCTCTTCCCTTCCTGCGCCACACCCATCTCTCTCTCTCTCTCTCTCTCTCTCTCTCCTTCCCCTTCCCCTTCTCCTTCTCCTTCTTTCTTTTACTTTTAATTTTTAATTATTTGTTTTACAAAACCTTCTGCCTATAAAACCCACCAGATATATAATCAATCACTCCTACCCTCGCACAGGCCCCAACTGGTGTTTCCGTTTCCTTTTTCCTTTTTCCTTTTTCCTTTCTCCATTATTGATTCATCGACCTCTCGATTTCATCTCCTCTCTCAGGAAAACGAAAAAGTAGAGATGCGTAAATTGAAAGGGTTATTGGGGATCCTGCTGATGGTTATTATTCTGTTTGAAACGACGGCGTATGGGGCTACAGAGCCACCGCAGAAGAAGCCGCGGCCGCGCACTCACACCAACGCTTACGCCACCATGATGTACATGGGAACTCCGAGGGACTACGAGTTCTACGTCGCGACACGTGTCTTGATCAGATCCCTTGCACGTCTCCGCGCGAACGCCGATCTCGTCGTCATTGCCTCCCTCGACGTCCCTCTCCGTTGGGTCCGCGCCATGTAAGTGCCCTTTCTTTTCTTTTCCCTCTCTATACTGCTTCACTTCTTCTCTTTCGTTTTCCTCTACGGCGTCGTTTCCACATCCCTCCTTCCTCTTCTTATGTTTTTCTTCCCCTGTCCGTTCACGATCCTAAATTCAGATGCTACCCGGTTCATGATATCTACGTGAGCCCATCCCTGTTCAATCAGAGAGTTATTTTCTAGGCAGATTACAAAATAAAAATAGTTAAATTCTTCGTCCTTTAGTGAAAACAAGACACCCTGGAACCTCTCTGTCTATAATTTAATGGAACTTTAAAATAATATATGCCTTCATTAATTATTTAATTCGTCTATATATATATATATATACACACACACACACACACACAAATGCCTAAATGCTTACGCTGACTTAATATTGACCCTCCTTTTACCGCAGTAAAAGAAAATTCACCCATTTACCCTAAGAGATTTTCAGTGTTGCTGTCAATCAATTTTTTTGTCGTGTCTCTTTATGCCGCTTTCTTCGCTATTTCCATTATATAATTTCCAATTTGTTCTTCTTTTTTTTTTTTTTTTCTTCTGGGTTCGAGTCTTTCTGTGTCATATTATTTTCTAATCTCTTGATTATTGTTTAAGCATTACGTAATTACAACTACAAGAGAAACTTTCTTTTTTCTCTGTTAACTGCCGTTAGGCCGGTAATTAACGGACCCACCCACTTATTTTTTCTCTTGTCCGGAAATAATTATTTATTAAAAAATATTTAATAAATGAAATTTATTGTCTTCTTCTGTTCCAAAATAAACTCTCCTGTCTTAGAGTACGAAAGGTCATCTATGGGAGTCAGAGGAATAGACCCGAGTACCCATCGGGTGCCCCGAAAGATGACGTGGCCCCACAATCTGCAAATTGGGGAATATCTTTTTGGATCTTCTCTCTCTCTCTCTCTCTCTCTCTCTCTCAGTTTGGTATTCTCGTCCTTGAAAATATCCACTCGAATTAAAAATTAAGAAAAAGAAATATTTTTAGGTGAGAAAAAACATTTTTCGTCCATGGAGTTGGACTCGGTAAACCCCCATGTCAAACCCACCCTGTTTTATTATTTGTGAAATTTCGCTTGCGAGTCTTGTGGGTCGTATATGTTTTCTGGGTTTGTGAATAATACATTGAAATTATTAAGTTTCTCAAAGAAAAAAAAAAGAATTGAAGATGGTGGTTGAGGAAATAAGTTCCTTAAAGATGGCAAAAACAAATAGTGAAAATTTTGATTAGGCAAATTATGATGGATTTGAAAAGTATGTGATGGTTTTAAATTAAAAGCTGGTCCAGCCTTGAAAAAAATGAAACCTCATGAGTTGTTTTCCCCCAACTTGCTGAGATTTGTCCCTTGAATAGTCTACTGAATTAAACACCATTGTCCCACACGTCTGAACTTCTTATAATTTTTAGTAATCAAACATTTCAATTTTGTAAATTTTTTCTTCTTATTATTAGAAAAATACTTGTCTAGTTCTGTACAGTTGTGCACCTTTATGAAATACTGTATGCTTTCAGGATTTTTATTATTTCCACTTGCAAAACTTCAGAATTTTCCTGAGTCCCCAAATGTCAAATATTCCTTTTCTGGTTAAAAAATGTATTGTTAGGTCTAATCTTCAGTAACCCATTTGCTACTCTCTGGAGTTGCAAAAAGGGAAAAGGGAATGGAATGTCTTACTTCCATTTAACATAACAATCTGTTTCTTAATTTCTTTTATCTTATATGGGTTATGGCAGTGTTCTTAAAAATTGTCCAGTCAAATCATAATTGCTCATTATTATTGAAAAATTTAAATTTGTTTTGACGTTATTGCATTTCAGTCTTCTATGTGGCAATTCAGTACCTGTTTTTTTTTTTTTTTTTTTGTAAGAAAGTATTTTGCATAGAATTGTTAGTGTTTTCTGATTAATTTCTTTTTGTTTTCTCTATTTTTTGTTTGTTTCCGTTTAAACTTTAAACTTTCATGTGTTCCTTCTTTACAAGCCTAGACACACGTTGATATTTTCTACAACAAGTAAATCGTTTTACATAAAATGATAAGGAATGATCGTTACCAACTGTGAAAGAAAACTGTAATAAAAGGCTAAATAATTGATGTTTTATGCATATATAATTAGCTATATTATTTAAGCTTTTTGTACCAAAAATATAGTAACATGTGGATGGTGTTTACTAATGAATCTAAAGTACATACTAGTCAAAGCTAATTTTGTACTATCCTCAAGATATTTTTTTTAAAAAATAATTTTTTACATATATGCTATTATTCTTCAAGTCTTTGCCAACTCACCGTGAATAAAGGGGTTAGATAAGTCAAGCTGCCAGGAAATGCAAGTTTGGTGGAATTGTCTGCTACGACATCTTTTTCTTCCCTAAATACTTACTCAAGAATTTTTGACACTCGGTTTAATCAAATTTGTTGAATCATTCTTGTAGCTCAATTTGCACCTGTTGGTCAAAATACATTATTATATATTGTGATCACCAGCTCAAACGCATATGGAAATATATTTGGAAAACCCTTGTTTATTACTTCATCCACTTAAACTTTAGAAAGAGAATCAAGTTGTTAAATGGGTAAGTCAAAATCTTATGTGATATAGAATCAAGAATATATACCCACTTTTGTATTATTCACATAGAGGTAAAAAATGATAAAATTATCTGCATATGTTTCTTCGCATTCTGGCCATGATCAAATGTAGGACCCCCCCCCACCCACTGCTATTGTTCATTGTTTCTCTCTTTCTTTTTCATCTGTATTGTTGGGCGCATTGAGCCTAGAGTGATTCCCTTTGACATAAAATGTGAATGTGTTTGAATTTCACTATTTCTTGTGAGTCTACAAGCAATCTAAAATATGTTGCTTTGATGACATGTCTGCCAAGCATTAACCAAAGCAATTTAATTTAAAACTTCTAATGATGAATATATGATTGAAATGACCAATTCCATTTTGTGGTTTAGGGAGCAGGAAGATGGAGCGAAGGTGGTGAGAGTTGAGAACCTTAATAATCCATATGAGAATCAGATTTATTTTGATAAAAGATTCAAGCTGACACTGAATAAACTCTATGCATGGACCCTAGTGGAATATGACAGGGTGGTTATGCTAGATGCTGATAATCTTTTCCTCCAAAAAACAGACGAGTTGTTCCAATGTGGACAATTCTGTGCAGTTTTCATCAACCCTTGCATCTTCCATACAGGTCTCTTCGTCCTGCAGGTAAAATCTAATTGACCTTTCTGTTTATTTCAAATAAGGTCATGGAAGGAAGTCAAGTGAGAACATCACCACTTGAATCAAAAGCAAACAATTTCCTTGAAACTTTCTTCTGAGCTAATCTGATGATTTAAGCTTTGACAGGTGTAATCCCATTTTAGTAAAGGAAAACAACCTTGTTGCATGTGCAACTTTCCATGAAAACATGTTCTATATGTTTGGTTTATTCAATTCCCTTTATCCTATAGGATTCCAAAGCAGAAAAGATGCCACTTTACATCAAATAGACCTGGATTGCACTTGCTTTCATACACATTCATTTGATTTCAACATAGCCTAAATTTGTTTCTTGACATTCATGACCAAGTGTTTTGTAATTGCAATGAATTGCAGCCATCAATGGAAGTATTCAAGGACATGCGTCATGAATTAGAAATTGGGAGAAAAAACCCCGATGGTGCAGACCAGGGATTTATCACTGGCTACTTCCCAGATTTGCTTGATCGGCCATTGTTCCGTCCAACCTTGAATGGCACCAAGCTTGATGGGCAGTACAGACTTCCCTTGGGGTATCAAATGGATGCCACCTATTATTGTAAGTAAACATGAAGTGTTTTAAACTTTGAGCTGCAATGACAGTTATTGTTATTCCATATAGTTCCTAACGAAATCATGTTATTTTGAATTTGATGGTCATTTGTTCAATCATCATTTATCATTGATTTTTTCCCCTTTCTTCTTTATGGTCACAGATCTGAGGCTGCACTGGAACGTCCCCTGTGGACCCAATAGCGTGATTACCTTCCCGGGTGCACTTTGGCTGAAGCCATGGTATTGGTGGTCATGGCCAGTCCTGCCATTAGGCATTTCATGGCATGAACAACGCCTACAAACTCTTGGGTAAATGCGGAATACACCTCTATGCTCTTATCTTTCTTTGTAAACATTATTGGGCACGTATGCAAAACCAGAATAAATAATTCAACTACATTTTCAAACAATATTCCATGCTTTGATGACACAACTGGGAAACATTAAGTAATTCGACAATTTTGAAGCTGTTAGTCTTTCTAACATACACTTTAGATTGATATAATCATCATATTTAAGTTGGTTCACGTGCGGCTCTTTTGCAGGTATGGAGCTGAAATGCCAATGGTACTCATACAGGCAATATTCTATCTCGGAATCATAGTAGTTACAAGGCTAGCACGACCCAATGCCCCAAAGTTTTGCTACAGGCGCTCAGAGAAAAACTCATCCTTAGTCCAGATTAGCTTGAAATTAATGGCAGTATGGTCCATTTTTGCAGCTTACTTGATACCTTTTTTTATCATTCCTCGCACAATTCATCCATTACTTGGCTGGTCCTTGTACTTGTTTGGCT